TTCAAATTTCAAAATTATCCCGTTCCAGTGCTTACTTTGACGCTATCCTTTAGCATAGATAGATGATCTAAACTTCTGTAAGTCAGATTTCGATTTAGTCGATGACCAGTGCATTTTGATGCACATTCTTTCATGATTGTACTTATGCATTTCCATGGTTTGTTTAGCTTATTTTCGTATTTTATAGTGTTTTTATATTTTAGTTTATTCCTACTCTTATTTGATTTTCGCACTTTATTTTCAGCATTAGCAGTCTGCACGAATAAATTCATAACTTGAGCTACGGGAGTTGGAATGAGGCGTGCTACCAGTCGTTGGAAAGCTAAGAGAAAGCTACGATTTTTATTCATAAGTCGAGAGCTGAATCGGACTGTAGCAGGGCCATAAAATTCGTTGAAGTTACAACATTTTATATTTAAGTTTTGAGTCATTTGTTTTGGGTCTGGGTTATGTTTTCGACCCAGTTGGGTTATGAACCGAATCCTTGTCCTTGCTATACCTAGCTGCCGCTACAATAATTTAGTTTGAACCTTTTCATTATTAAAAAAAATACATTTTGCTTTTACGCTTGAATGAAGAACTAATCATCCAGAGTTGATCTACTGTAATCGTGTTCCGATGCTTTGAGATTTTTAACTTATCAATTCAATTTCGTTTCTCTTTCAATTCTATTTTATGAAATTGCATTTGCTTAATCTGTTATTTCATGGAATGTCTTGATTAAATTCGTATGATTGTATTCCTAATCTTTAATCGTTGTTTACGTCGCTTAGTCGTTAAATCGCGTTTTATATCGTGTTTGCTTAATTCACAATTGTATTAATCCGTTTGCTTAATTCGGAATGAGAATTCAATATATTTTATATCTATTGCGCTTGTCAATTGGTATTGAAATCGAATAGAGGTCGAAGCTGCTTAGGGAATTGGTAAGGTAAAAACCAATGATTAGCAGGAACTTGAAAACAGTAGATCGACTTATTTTTATAATCACTTATTTTAATCACTTATTTCGTGTTATAAATCGATCCTAAAACCAACCCTCCATTTGATTTCTATTAGTTAATAATAAAATCAAGAATCCTTGCGATACGACTCGAGCCATTGTCGCTATACTACATTTTTATAAAATAACTCGTTTTTGATCTGCCCGCGACAACTGATCAATCGACAAGAACAAACTTTGACTAGCTTGTTTGTCAATTGTGTCGACTTTCCACTATTGACTAATAATTTTTCCAACTACTTCTCATTCTCGAGCTTAATTTCCTTACAACCTTTTATTTGTAGGATATCTTCTTCTTAACTTGTGGGACTACCCCAATAGTAGCCAGCAGTCCACAAAAGTCAAAATAATCGAAAATTGTAATTTAATACAAGCAAAAAACTAATTTACGCAAGTTATAAGTGCATGACGGGTTACTCGTCATGGGCATGGCGCCCACCACCAGCATCAAAACTCAAACATGTCACCTGTGTGACAACCAGATCCAGAATTGATCCTAGACTACATGACAGGTTACCCGTCATAGCCATTGCACCCGCCATGGACCTTCAGACTGTAAAAAAAAGTGATTTTGATGATGGAGACTTATGGCTCCCAAAATCACTTTCAATCATCCAAAACAAATTTAAAACCATACATACATGTCATATATTCATCTATATAATCTTATTTCATCAATTCAACACTTTTAATTCATTGTCGCATGAAATCATATTATTTTCAAAATATTTAAAACTCCATCAATGGTGAACACATCACAACAACATAAAAACATAATTATCATACATAAATGTATATGAATTTCATCCATTAATTCATCACACATATCAAGTTAATCATCAATAACATAATTATATTAACAAAATACAAAGTTTATTAAGCACCTAATTGCCCTATTGGAGGTTAAGGATTCCTCAAGTCTACTTCTCATGCATATAATCATTTATTAAATAATTCTCCCCCTTACCTAATTATCCTAGAAGCAATTGAATGATCTTATTTTGCTGTTCTTATCTCCCTCAATATCTAGCCTCTCCTTACACTTTCTCATGCCTTAGCCTTTTCTCTATTTTTCTACATACGGTAAAAACTCCCCCCTAATCTCTCAACTTTCTTCTTATAATAACCAAAAACCCTTAATTTAGTTTTTTCTCTTCTACCCTCACTTCTTCACACCATTTCAACATTTCCCTTTCTCTTTTATTTTTATTTTATTTTTATTCTACTCTTACTATTTAATCTTAAAATAATAATAAAATATAGTAATAATATACTACTCCTCTTATTATTTAATTTAATTACTACATTACTATTATTTTCAATTATTTTAAATAATTCACATAACTACTATACTCCACACACCCTCAAACACTCATTACACTCCCACTCAACATAAAACAATTATTCATTTATTTTAAATAAATCATGTAAAGTCATATAAACATACAATATAATATAAATAAATAATTAAATGAAAATTGGGGTGTTATATCGTGGGTTTTTTTAATCTTGGTCAACATCGTGGAGCCTCTAGTTTTTCTTTTATTTTATGTATTAACAGATGTTACAGTAAATGTTATACGAGAGGTACTTGACGAATCACTCATATTTGTGTAAATTAAGAAAAATAGTAACATATAATAGAGACACCAACATGAACTTCAAAGCCACGTCATTCAACAATTCACGCTAAATGATTAAGAACATAGAACATAATAACTAGAAACATGCACTTTAGTAATAAGTTATGATGAAACATTTCAAAAAAAATAACATATATGAAAGAGTTACATACATTTCAGTGGTATTATCATTTCTATGAACATTTCTAAAACTAACATCATAGTGCATAGCAAAATTTCTAACAACATTTTATGAACATTTCTAAAACTAACGCCATTTATATTAACATTTCAGTGGTGGATTACGTACCTCAAACGTGATGACGAAGCTTCAACGAGTTTTGAAAATATTTGATGTCCGAGTTGATGTTAGAAGAGTTTATGTTGAAAAGAGATAATGTTCGAGTTGATGTTGAAAGAGTTTTGATGAAAATTGCCTAGGGCTTTTTGTGAAGAGAATGAAGATGAAATTAGAGTATTTGTTGATAGGTAAATGAAAAGTTAGAGTCTAGTTTTTTGAAGTATTCATGCAATAGAACAAACACGTCGGTTTTTAGGCTAAACAAAGGAAACATATCAATTAAAAATTAAAAATATATATAACAAAGCCACATAGCGTCATATTTTGAGAATTCATTTAAAATAAATATCATGTCAGTTTTTAGACAAAACCGATGTAATAGATTAAAAATAACCTTAAAAAAACATTTGAAAAT